ACGTGACATACATATGATAGAGTGGGCCCCATATATGTCAATGTGACATCAACTGTTCAATTGATTGGAGTATTTAGTTAAACAACTTCATAATGGGCATGAGCTCAATCCATTAACCACTTTACCCATTATCATTTTTCTATATATACGTGACTTCACTTCACAAAAGGTAAGTATCATAACCCTAGCCAAATCTCCTTCCCTCTATTGCACTAATATAATTTTTTGTTCGGTCGTTGACTTGATCGTCGGAATACAAATGATCATCGAACATTTTTCTCGACTGGTGGTCTTTGCCTTTTAATGGAGTATTTCAGTATCATAACCATTATATACGTGACTTCACTTCACAAAGGTAAATATCATAACCCTAGCCAAATCTCCCTCCCTCTCTTACACTCATATAATTTTTCATCCGGTCGTTGATTTGATCGTCGGAATGCAAACGATTATCGAACATTTTTCTCGACTGATGATCTTTGCCTTTTAATGGAGTATTTCAGTGTGCATATGACGCCTCAATCCCAAGAGTAATATATAGTAGCAAAGTGCGCAAAACCATAGCCTTGACTAAAAACTCAAATTATGTCCTCGACCACCAAAAGGTCTAAGGACCTCGAATATGGGCAGAAATGTTATGGCAAGTTCTGACACAATCAACATAGATTTCAAACTTCAGTACAGTAAATTCATACGTGAACATAATGAATTGCTTAACGAGTGTCACGAGAACACAAGTCTCAAAAATAATTTTGAAAATTAAATTTAATCATAACTTCCAACACAACACAATGAGGAAATATAAACTCATAAAAATGACCAAAAGGTCAAACAAGGCCATTTGTCCAACTAAAAATGCTTGAAAAATCTAAGATTTAGTCTTCTACTCTCTAAAAAAATATCTTGAATTGAGGCAAAATAAAGGATCGACCCTCTTGAAAATTCTAACATTCTCCATTTTTCTTCTCTCTACAAATAATTTAGCTCCTAGAAAACCCAAAAAAAACCTTTAAAAATGAGCAAATTCATTTAAAAAATTCGACAAGAAACTTGACCGTTTGCTTTAAAAAATCATTTCCATTTTTAGGTAATATTTTGCATTGATGGACCCATTATGGGTCCTAGTGGGTCATGTTACCCACCGACTTTCAACTTAATATTGTTTTTTTTTCTTTTATAAATCAAAAAACAGATTTCGAGTGTTTTTTAGACTCTTTTTTAATTATAAATAGACCTTTTTTTATAAATAAAAAGTTAAGATTGTTTTTGTTTAACTGTAATCGAGCTATCTATTCTCGAAATTTTAAAGAAGGATAAGAAGAAGTTTAAGAGAATAACTACTCAAATTTTATGTGGCTATGTTGGGATTATAATAGATTTCTATTGTGCAAAAGTGTAGGGATAATACACCAATATTGTGTATAATTCATAAAACGTACCGTGTAGTCGAGACGTAATCTTAACTTATCGAAAACTGCATCCGAACGCATGAATATAGATTCATCCATTTCTATTCTTGAATGATAACTTTCTTCAAAAGTTCTCCTTGCAATATACACATATAAATAAATTAGATCAGATTTTGAAATCAAACGTAAACTAAAAAGATAAACGAAGAAATAATGA